TACTGTTTTGAGTGTATTTTTAATTGACACATTTGGTGATTATTTCTTGGCAACAAAAATAATCTGATACATACAAGTATACAGAGTGAACAAAAATGATGTGTACAACTGAGACACGTTTAAAATTTGTGGCTATCAGTGAAATCTAGGACGAGCGTTTCGTCCTCGGTTTATATCTCTCAACGTTGCCCCACTGCCTTGTGGATTAGACCTCCAATTCAAGGTCTCGGGGAATGGCCTACTAAGAAAACCACCTGTTTCGGTTTGGCGACCAGGGCAGCGTCAAACCTTGCACACAAACTAAGTGATAACTACTTTATATGACACATATATTTTGTTACCCTTTTGTGCCAATATTTATGTGTTTAAACAAATAAATACATATGACACAAATTGGTTGAACGGTGTGTTACTAGTTATATATTTGAATTATATTCATATGTATTTTACATCAAACAACAAATTAAAATACTCAAAATGATATGAGTATGTTGAAATTGTGCTTAAACCAAACTGTCCTATTTCTAAATACTTAAGAAATATATGATTTATATCAGGAGGGGTTTTGTAGATATTATAGTAATTTTTTATGGTTGAGATCACTAATCAGTTGAAACAAGACCACCATCAACATATGCTCACTAGTGACGGTCTCCAAGAGGTATTTCCTAGAGTTCTAGTGAGAAGCAATGACCAGTGGAGTTCGACCGGTCTGTTGTAAGATAGTAACTCACTGAAGATAATGGTGGATGTATCGCTCAATTTTGTGGATTAGTTGAAGTTAAACATTAACTACGTTGGATGTCGGCTGGCTCAGTGGTCTAGTGGTTAAGTGCTCGCGTGTGAGACTGACAGGTCCTGGGTTGGAATCTCACGAGACGGCATCGTGGATGAGCACTACTGCGGAGTTCCACAATAGGTTTGTTTGTAGGATCTATCATGGTCTGATTCAAATTAAATCAAAGGTTCTATTGACAGAAATTATCATAGTGATTTTCATTCTACTCAAGTTTATTCGTTATTAGTAACGTTCATGAAACTTCTGATTTGTTCAGAATGAATTAATTAATTCATATTTGAAGAAGGATAATATTCCAGAGGAAACTTTTTTTCTTTCTGACGACCTTATTTTCAGGTGTTGTGCAAACGTGTTAATGTCAAAAATTCAATGTAATGTTGGTTTTATATGTATTAGTATGAATGTACATAGTAATTGACAATCATAATACAAAAACAAATTGTTCGCTTATATCTAATACGTCATTCTGTACTGAGGAAATATTTAGATTGACTCAGAAGTATGGAATATTTAAGCGACTACGAATATAAAAATTGTTGTATTATATTTCATGTAGATAGGGGAAGAATATCATTGTGAATGAGAGTAGCGACTGATATAAGGTGATCGTGTAATAATAATATTAATCCAGTGAGTGAATTTGGGGAGTTCTACCTAAAATATTTTGATTTAATGATAAAATTTCACGTACACTATAAAAATATAGAAGGACAGAAATAAAATGAAGCATTAGGAAAAATACGAAGATATAAAAGAAAGTAAGGCCATGATAGATAAATCAACTTTCTATACTGTTTCTCTGCACACACACACAAACGAATACACATACATACACAAATTTTTACCAATGCAAATGATAATATGAGCATACACATTTCAATAGAGTTAGTTTAATCTAATCAATAATTCTGAATAATAAATTTGCAGTTACGTGATTATGATCACCCACATACTAATGAATGGATCTTATACTCCTAAGTTATTATTTACTGAGACTTAAGATCATTTCTGTTATTCATTTACTGACGTAAAAATTCACAACTTTTATTCTTTCAAATTGTAGTTGATCATCAGTCACTTATATTTTAATGATTGAGACCATGAGTCAATTAAAGCTAGACCACCATGGAAAACCTGGAAGCACTGGAGGGTCATTTCACTTAATTTGGAACTCCGCAGTAGTGCTCATCCACGATGCCGTCTCGTGAGATTCCAACCCAGGACCTGTCAGTCTCACACGCGAGCACTTAACCACTAGACCACTGAGCCAGCCGACATCCAACGGAGTTAATGTTTAACTTCAACTAATCCACAAAATTGAGCGACACATCCATCATTGTCTCCAGTGAGTTACATACTGATACTAGTCACTTATATATTCAATGCTTACAAGTCAGTCTTTTGATTCATTCACTGTACACATACCTACAGACAAATGTAATAAATTCATCAGATTTACTATTGAATATTAATATATCAATGTAATTTTTATAAAAATTCTCATTATAATAAGATAAACATCTGTGAACAAAAGAGAGCTTTCAAATAAATTTTCAGAAGATTACATGTGGTTATCATCAATGAATCATCATCCAAGTTTAAAACTTGGATTGATTTTGGTTCGGTTATTTATTCTCTGAAGAAATAGCCTACACTGAGTCACGAAACGTCAGAAAACCTAATTTTTCTACTCATTGGGATATTACAAATATATTATTTATTTATACCAATCTACCCAATGCTCAATTCATTCGAAATTATCAAGTTAAACCTTGGTAACGATACCTACAAATAAATCACCAATGTTTAAAGTAAATACATATTTTTAGAATAAAGAACATAAATAAAGGGTTGTCAGTACAATATATTTCTAAACAAGTGTTTGTAAAACTTTATAATATTTTTGAATCTGTTGGTAGGACACGTAGAATTGCTATCATCCTGATACTAAAATTAGAAAGTTGATCTTTCAGCGAGCTTCATGAATGGGCCGTTTCTCAGTTTAGCTAGAAAAATAGCAGCTGATATGGAAAACAACTGTGAACTCTTTGCTATTCCATCAAATCGTCAGTAGATTTTATCAGTGAAAGTGAAATAAGCATTTGTGATGCGTCTCGATATAAATTTTTGATGACCCTATCTGGGATTGCAACTTTGATTTCTTTTTTACAATGATTGTATAATGATAATTTTCACTCACACGTAATGACATTTAACATTTTATACCAACCAGTAATATCAGCTTCTCCTTTCTTCTATTCACTGAAAATAACAAACACTATCAAGTATTCCAAGCTTATTCTGATAGTACAAACTGAAGTTATAGAGTTATAGAGTAAGTTTAAAGAAAGATTTTTTTCATGATAACCATATGAAAACTCTACACAATTTAAGAGTGTATAAATATCACCCCATTCAAATATTTTACCCTCAAATAGTTCAGTGTAATTTCATTCTATATTGTTTAGTCTAAAAACATAACTAGTGAAGTTGTTGGGCTCAATCTACGAAAAGTTTTAGAATTCAGTTTTATGATAGTTCTGATGAAATCGATATTTCATGCAAGATTTGAACTCAAAACATCCAGTGTTACATGAGATATTACTTTGCAACCAACAGACCTAATTAATATCGAGCTCACGTACAAAGCTTGACGTTGATTGTCCATAATCGCTTAACATTGGAAAAAAGTTTCTTGATATATAGGTTTATTTGAATTAATGACCAGACTACATCTTGAACATCCTGAAACTTAATCAATATAAAAGAATATAATACATCATACTAGTCTTTATTAAGTAAAAAGCTGATGTAGACAAATATATTTTAGCTATAAGCAATAATTACTAATTGTTATTAATGGGTAGTATGATTAGCTTTATACATACTAGTTAGGAATAAAGTTTTAACATCCATTACAATTCAAGGTCACATAATGTACTATTTTTCCGTTAAGCCATTTACTTGTTTGTTAATTTTATTATCTACCATTATTATTTAGATTATATGTAGAATAGCGCTTTCATTATGCATATGTCAACTTTAATTTATATCACTCGTGTATATAAAATCCCCATCTGAGTCTTCTGTATTATTTGTAATGTAATAATGTGTTTTAGTAAATGTATAAAACGAAACTGCCTAATTAGTGTTTAATAATGAGTGGACAGAGTAATCATACAAAATAATTTTTCTAAATATTAAGCAAAAATATACAATGATAGTCTCTATAGTTTGGAGACTAAGATAAATTATCTAACAGAGATGAGAGCTATAATAGTTCAAAACTGAATGGGATGCTTTGAAGTACTATCGCCGAGTGACATATGATCCGGTAAAATATACTGTTCTATGCATGTATAAAATCATCAAGTATTGTGTTGAGTCCAAAAAGAAGACATTTGCTTCTGTATTAAAAGCCAGAAAAGAATAAATCTGCAATAAAAATCTTTCAATGGTACTATTTAGAATCAATCGCTGTCATAAAAATCAACCTTCTATTTATTTCTCTATATGTTTGTGACCGGAATATACTCACGATCACATTTTATTCCTTATACAAGATCATAATAATTTTAACTGATTCCCTTAACTTTCTCAGGATTCCAAATTGTTTCTATTTACATTCATATTCATAAAATAATTATCAGTTCAATATGATTTATAAAAGATTAGAAAGAAATTAAGAGTATTTGTAATATATTACTTATAATATTAATAATTAAATATACATCTTTATGAATGGAAGATTAAGGCTTATTAACTTAAAGGTATAATGCTTACTATGAGTTGTGTAGTTCAATTCTACTATCAATACAATATACTTTTGTGTGCATCTCAAATAGTAATAAAACAGTATTGTCTAGGTTTTAAATCCTTTTTTCCAGCTTACATAACTATTTTTATGGAAATCACCTTGAATAACAATAGTACATAAACTTGACAAAATCATTCCAGTAAATTCAATATTTCTTATTAGAAAACTGAATGCATATTATGAATCAGTATGATTTAATGCTTCGTAAATTTTTAGCGGTAAATTGTTTTTAAAACTCACTTATGTAGTGTAAAGTTGTATTCCTTTTTTTTTCTTTCGTTTAACTGAAAAATCGAATCTATCTATAGCCAAGTCAATACACTTAATTTAGTTACTAATGTTAAGAAACAAACGTTTTATTAAGCTATTAATTAGTTAACTTACTCAGATATTTTTAATTGTTCAACTGTGCATTGCTGTCGTCTTAATATATTCCGTTTGATGCTGGGAAGTCCGATAACTGAGCTAGCATTATTATTATTATTACTTGCAGTAGTAACAGTGGTAGCAGTAGTTTCATCCGATTTCTTTCCGGTCTCTAACATGATATATGAATTGTTCTCTTGTTTTATACTCGCAATCGATTCAGATGATTTAGACATTTGAACATATGGCAATGGAAATTTCTCATCATCTTGAACAATATTTATCGAAGTGTTATTATCCGGTAAACAAGTACTTAAATTACGATAACTTCTAAATGAAGTCTTTTTATTTGTCCTTAAACCTATAAAATTTAATTCTGATTTATCATTCATATTATTAACAATTAAGTATGATAATGAAAACGTTTATCATGTGCTTCATCCTCTTCTTCTTGTCATTCATTAATGATGTTATCACAGTGAACCAGCACCATGAAGAATAACATACTATTGAGTAATTATTCGAATGAATTACTCTTTTATTCTTATTAATTAATTAAATACAAAATATTATCTGACACATATTACTAACATACTGATCTAAATTATCCAAAATAGTGGAGATTAATTCCAACTTTTTAAAAAATTTTTATTCACTATAAATCCTAAAATGTAAATTGTGTTACAGTAAAATCTGTATGGGCTTCTTTTATTCATGTCTTCTTTAAAGTACTTTATCGAATCTCTTCAGTTTGAAATAATAGAATGAATTAATAATGTTTTTTACAGTGATAGATATTAGTGTTGTGCTTTTTTTTTCAAAGAAGATCAACTTTGTTAACATAAAGGATCCATAACTCAAAAGTAAATTTCAACCAATAAATAAATCCTCAATGTTGAAAAGTTGTTTTTTCTGTTGTGGAGAAAATTCTGAAATTTATTTTACCATATATATATACATATTCCTTTGTGTGTGTGTGTGTTCATATCTGTCGAGTGTAGACTTATATACTTACAGGCATACAATCATAAACATTTGGTCATAGAAAAAAATACACAAACATTTATAACAGATATAGACACATACGTATATTTGTCCATTCTCTATTTTGTAAGTACACTTACACAATATATGTATCTGTTCCTAGGTACTCCTAAAAATGAAGTAAAATGTATATATATATATATATATATATATATATATATATATTGCAGCTCTATCCAGTCAGTGAACAATCAGTGACTTTATATTCAGTTTTCTTATTCCTGTGATAATCATTATGTTATATAGTGAAGAAGATTTGTAGCTCAGGTGGATGAATTTGATGGAGTTTTGTTCTCTGAGCTAGATGGTTTTGTCGTGGAGCTTTCGTCATTCTTCTGAGCGACATCATCAGCACAAACTACAGATAGACTTCTGTCTGAAAGCTCCATGACCAAACCATCTAGCTCAGAGACTAAAACTCCATCAAAAAAATAGTATTATATAAACTAACTTACACTTTAGTTCCTACTTAATAAATTTGATTATTTTGAAAGAAAATAATTTCTGAATTAATAGTTGTGTTGTATAAGGTAAACGATAGTACTGTAAAGTGTACAATATATTTGTATTCATTTCTTGTGAAATTATTCATTAACCATAAGAAATAATATCTGTCAAATGCTTAACAATCCCATATGACAGATGAAATATTTCAGTTACTAGCTAATATTTTAAGAGTTTGTTCTAAATACTGTTATAACCTTGGATATCATTTCTAAAATTCATTCATCATACATATAGACTATTAATGATTGACGATAATGGAGAAAATTATAAGGACTTTCCTTTTGGTTGAATTAGTTAACTTTTATGCGAAGCTATTTAGATCTATGAAGGACTCATTCTTCCATCATATCAGTTTGTTAATATATGTTTTTTTAGCTCAAATTTGATTAGACTATTAACCAGATTGTTTATTAACTTACTTTAAGAAAAGTTATGATGACATAGAATATGCTGAATCACACAATAGTAACTTTGTAATTGTTTACCAAACATGTGAACCATTTATCGCTTCATTATTCATTATAAATAAATTAATATTTTCCTAAGTACCCCTTTCTTCACTCATTCAAATATTAAATTTTTTTATACGAAGGATTAAATAATACAATCGTATAAAGCTTGATAATACATTATGTTATTATTTTAACTTTACCTCACAAAATCGAACATAGTTTATAAACCTTTTCAATAATTTAGTCACCGTCCAAAGAATTTGTCATGTTTATATTTTGGTAAATATGGTGCATCCGCCTTCAGCACTGACATTAGTTTCAACCCTGGAAATTTGTTAGTAAATATTTCCGTTTCCCTTTATTTTTATATCGATCATTTTAACGATTATTGTGTAATTTGATTGATAGTTTTTGTAGATTAGCTTAATTTATGAGTGATTGACATTAATGACAGATTGACATTAATTTAAGTACCATTAGAAAATCAGAAAAAATTCAATAACTGTTTTGTCCTGGCATGGAACTCCGTAATAATGACTTAACCAGTAATCTAATCCCTGATCTTCAATTCTTGTTATGTATAAACTACTGAGTTAGAATTAAGTGATTAACACTTTAGCATTCAATTAATTTATGATAAATCGTAGTATAATCTAGTCCTATTGATAATGACTATCTCGCCCACGAAATGGTTGAACTTTATAGATGAGAACTTCTTACTGAAACTTCAAGAATTTATCGCGAACCTAATCAACTGTAGTTTATCAACACTTAGGATCCGATGATTTTCTTACACCAGTCATCAACCAATCACCTACACGTATATCTAAAGATAAACGAAAATAAAATACTTTGATTTTATGCTCATTTGAAATATTGGGTGAGACTATAATTTATGGACGAACCAATCAGATGTACGATAACAGGTCTTGAATTTCGGTGCGAAATTAATTCATTCATTCGGATAAATAGAGTTTTGGCATTATAGCTGATGTCAGTCCGTGATGAAAACTTTAAATCTAATTATTAATCCTAACTACCAACTGTAAAATATTAATCCCGACTCCTCATACTGGTGTATAATCCTCATTAAGCCGTTGTATGTAGACTAATATTCTCAAGATCTTTTTTAGCGTCACAAAAAGATCATTCACTAAATATTGTTCTATTATGTAAGCAAAAGTGAATAGTTAATCAATAATTAATTCAAATTGTTGTTTATTTATTAAAAATAGTTTTCGTACAAAAATATGCATATTGTTTTCTTGTTTGAAAAAAAAAGGTAAAACACTCATATTCATTTGTTCCTATTTCCGTTTACAGTTGAATCAGTTAATTAATCCATCTGATTTTGTTAAATATTTAGATGTTTGACATTATTGTTTTCAATATTTAGTTTGAAGAAAACAATATTTTGTATTAACTTTTCTTAAATAAATGTTAATTTTCATTACTAAAACTATCAATATAAAGTGGTACATTATGGAGATTTGATAATGTTGTTTATGAACTGACTTTTTGCTTTAAAAAAATAAGAAATATTAAACAGCTCCTTAAGAATATACATTTACAAAAACTAGATTAAATCGGATAAAAGAGCTTTAAATCTCATTAATAATAAAATAATTCTAGAAAATGTCAATGACTTTAATGTAGAATTGTCCAAATTTTCTTGGAATTCTAATCAAGGAAGATATAGAACATTTCTCAATCAAAATTATTAAAAGACATCTGTTCAAGTTATGAATCAATTAATTAAAATCAATTATGTCTTTCAAATAGAACTGTTACTAATCTTATTGCCATAGCTATTTTTTTCAACTGGTTTATTAGGTTTGTAAGGCTTTACACTTACTTGTTGTTGATATCAAAGTCTATAAATGATCAGTTTTCATTAATCACATATTCACCCTGAGTGATGGATACTGGATTTAAATTTCAGGGTGAACAACAACTGATAAATACCGAACAGAATAGAACTCACCTCCTACACTCCACTACTAGCCATAAACCAAATTTACTAAAATTGATCAGTTAAATGTTTTTAAGAATACTGTATAGATCGGCATTAATTTTTATCATGAAAGTAAGACAATTTATGAATTAATGAATATCTAGGTAAATTCTTTTTTGAACATAGTTTAATTCTATAAGGCTCACCAAGGGAAATTATTAAAAAAACTAACTAACTAATTAATTAATACTTCTCAACAATGAAATTTTCATAATACATTTATATGGTACCTATTTTTTTTAAATTTATTATTGGCTTTATTCAATATTCTATTAGCGGTACAAGATAGAATCCTCAGCATGAAGTATTTCAATGAGTTTCCATTTTTAAGTTCATGATCGATATTGATGATAAACATTGAGTGATTACCAGTTAGATATTAACATTTCAAAAGTCGATATCTGAATAATATTCTTTCTTTTCAATGCATATTGCCAGCCATTATGATATTACCGATTGCAAATTTTCGTAGCTTGTATAGCGACAGGTTGTAAATTTTTCAAAAACGCATCTGAATAGGTTGGACAATTAATTGACATAATGATCTGTTAAAACAAACAAACAAACAGATAACTATCAGAATGGGTTTTGTGGAGAGTTTTAGAAATTTCACAGGTTGAAATCATGAGTCGATTGAAGCTAGACCACCATGGAAAACCTGTAAGCACTGGACGGCCGTTTCGTCCTAGTATGGGACTCCTCAGCAGTGCGGGTTAAGTGCTCGCGCGCGAAGCCAGTAGGTCCTGGGCTCGAGCCCTGAGTGGTGCGGGATCGTGGATGCGCACTGCTGAAGAGTCCCATACTAGGATGAGACGGCCGTCTAGTGCTTCCAGGTTTTCCATGGTGGTCTAGCTTCAATCGACTCATGGTTTCAACCTGTGAAACAGATAACTTGTTGAAATATTTGGATGGCAGGAATAAGTAGCTCAGATATTCAAGCAGGTCATCTTAGATAATAGTAATTATTATTAATTCTTAAAAGAATAGCAAACTGATCTAAACAGAAGTCAAATTATATATAAATTTAAATTATTCATTATTTAAAAAAATAACTAATTGATTCAGAAATTTTCATTTAAATAATGAATCAATAATTTTAGGACGTCAGTAACATTCTAACTAAAAATAATGCCCCATAGTAATTCAAATAATTTTCTTCTTACTGAATTATAATAATTAACCACAAGTATTCAATACTTTCTATTGTTATCCCATATTTTTTTCCTTAAAGCAAACAGAAATGTTCGAATAAATTCAAATATACTACTGATATAGGAAATATTAGATTTGTATAACTCAATATTGTGAATAATAAGTGCAAAAGGTTACTTTAAATAACAAAAGGAATCAAACAATCCAGTTAAAGGTTATAGAA